ATAATAATAACAATAAACAAAATAACAATAATAAAAATAATAATTCATTATTAAATTTAATTACATCAAAAACCGATGTGGGGAAAAAAAGCCATACGCAGCTAGACATAATATGAATAATGTAGTAATAAACAGGAGGTTAGATAGTAACGTTTTAATATTGAATCCTAAAAACAATTTCATATTCCAGCAAGTAAAAACTTAAAGGAAAAAATTGATATTGAACTATCAGAACTTTAGCCATAGTATATCGGACACGCAACTATTCACTTTAGTCTCCGTGCTAGTATATATTATAAATTAATATTATTTAGGTAGTTCGTAGTATACAATTTTCCGGTAGGGGATAAGTCAGTTATTCAAAATCAGTTTGAGAAAACAATAGCATTAGATATCGTCATTGTCCGTTGACAATTAAGCGTATTTATTCTTTAGTCGTGTTTAGAGTTTTTCCCAGTCATCACGATAACATTAATCATTTCGACATAAATCGAAATTCAAAACCTCTGTGAATTCCGTTGACTTTTATTCAGTTAAGTGTTTTAATATATTAATAATATATTATCCAGAATGAAAAACTAAAACTCGAGTTTGTATGTCTTGTGTAAGTCAAAAACGACCATGCTCGATTTGACATATATTTTTTTTTTACCGGGGTTTATTGAAAATTTATCACACTTTCATTACTTTTAATAATTATTATTATTATCGTTCGAACTACCCAATACTCACGTATTTTTAATAATTACATACATATTGTATTTGGTCTGGTTGCTACTAATGCGGGTTAAGCCAATCATTTCATTTAGGTATTATTTATAAACGGTTAAATTATTAAATAGTACCTAATACTAATTATTTACACACAATATATTATTATTATTATTAATATTATTAAAAATACTATACCCTTTTTATTTTATTATTATATGATATAAACATTATTATTTATCGAGTATATTATTACAGCATAGTAGTAAATTACTATTATCGTAAGAACTATTGTAATCATATTGTTGGTTGTTTATGTTTTATATCGGGAACATTGTTAACAGCTGATTCGTTGTATTACCATAAAATTTACGCTTACTTCTATATGTTATATGTAATGTTTAAGATTGTTTATCCAAATAAGGAATTTTGAAAAAAAAAAATGTAAAAGAAAACTTTTCGTCATCGACATCTCCGGTGGATCACAAAATGGTACTCCGATTGGTTGTTTTTTTTAGAATTCAAACCAAAATATTATGATGTTTCCGACCCGAATACTGCTGTTGTTAAATGTTGTTATGTAAGTGCCCGGTTTACGGGATTCTTGGACTTAACCGCAGTAACGACATGATGTTCTGCAAAAAGATAATAATAATTACAATAATACATTTAATAATTCATCTGAAAAAAAAACTCATTACTAAGGAATAATTTGCGCATATTGTTGATCATGTTTATTGGTGGTAATTAAAAAGAAAAAATAACGGCCAATACAGAATCGTGGGGTTATATTAAAACAAATTAAGTAGCACAAATTTGATCGGTTTCGTGTCCCTATTTCCAGCAAACTATACTAACAACACACTTATCGTAATGTCGTAGGTATGACGTACCAAATAACACTAAACGAAGTACCGTCTATTTGTTCTAGTTCTAAACCGTACACAGTCAGTCAACATTATACTATTTATCCCGTCACGAATGTATTTATTTTGGATAATAATATAAATTTATCAGGTGGTAAATGACGTACAAAGCCCGACAACCAGATTAGTTTTCTGCTCGTAAACGATACCCTAAAATTATTGTTCTACTGCAATAAAATAACGAAAATGTAATAATATTGTCTCATAAATTACTACCTACCTATGCGAGTAGTTTGTTTGAACAATTTGTAACTCCTCCGGTTTAACAATAAAATTGATATATTTACTAAATGTGTATAAAACTATGCTCACCGAGTACACGTGATCACATTCAAAACTATTGAACATTTTTTTTTTGTTTTAAATAATATTTTTATCTTTTAGTATATTATTCGCAATTATCAACGTTTCGAATATATATTGAAATTATTGATGGCGAACGGTAACACGTTTAAACTTTGTACGTTTTTATTTTAATACTGACCTTTCTTCATACTTATTGTTTAGTTTTTTTACTGTATACGATTTACTGTAACGCCATGTACAAGTTAATATTCTTTTTGTTTTCTTAATTCACTTTACCTTTGACGTCATAAAAAGCTCACAACTCACGAGCAACAAAATAACGGGAAAAAAAGAAATAAATAACTATAATAATAATAATAGTAATAATATTATCATACTTATGAATGATATTGTTGGAGAAATACCTAACTTTGTTTCACATTTTTCGTAGCAGTGGAGGGGCACTGCCGTAGGAAAATTCCATTGTCACTGTCTGCCAGGGTTTTAAATTATTTGCGCGCACAATGGTCGGGCGGGAAATGAAGAAAGGTGAAGCTGTGTTCGGAATAGACGAGAAGAAAAGATTGCCCCCCTTTCCGAACAAAAAAAAAAAATAATAATATTCATAGTAATAATCGTAACAAATAAATAAATAAATAAATAGCGTCAGGACGGGAGGATTGAGCGTGAAAGTAAAATAAAAAAAAGGGGTACGAAAAAGAAAACCGTAAAAGAAAGAGAAAGAGTGGTTAAAAAAAAAACAAACGCACACGTACTACACACAAAAGCAACACGACGGACTGCGGTGACTCGACAACAACCGTGGTACCTACCACCAGCCTACCGCTCCTCGAATTCTACCTACCAACCTACCTAATCGCATATTATTATTATACCTCCTACTCGCCGGAAATAACGTCTTTATAATTTATTCGCCGTTGTTGCATGTATAGAGTTATAACCGAGAGTCGTATATTACCACAAAGTATAGATAAACGTCTCGTACCTTGTGCATAATATTATTGCACGAAACTTCCACACTACAAGCGTAGTCCCACTCTTCCCGAGCACACCATTCCCCAAACGTGTTCTGCCACCCGTTGACGCCCCATGCATGTGGCCTGAGATCCGCAAGAGTCCAGATATCAAGTATTATTTCGAATGATTTCGTGAGGACCAATGCAGGACGACGATTCGAGGAAAGAAATCGAAGAATCGAAAAAGAAACCGAATAACAAGAAATTCTCCGAACGTCCACCGCCCGCCCGCCGCAATCTATGCAAAAGGCTTTTCGTAGAGACTTCGAATTCGATTCGTCCTACAAAAACGGGTAGGTACCGAATAGGTACATACGAGTGGGTATGCTTTTTCTAGATAATAATATTACTATACTCCTCGACCTTGTTTTCTCGTCTTTCCGCCAAGACCACCCGCGCCCGCGACCCACCCGTCAACCCACCCAGTGGAAAAGATCTCTCTGTGTTTTTCACGGGAAATCCGAATTCACACCTGTGTACCAAAAACACGGTATAGCGGTATCGGTATTCAGCTGCTCCGGGTCACTGGCCGACCTCCGGCACCACCGTCCGGGGATTGGAAATGCACATTTTCCCGGTTTTCTTCGCCTTTGTTTTTTGTTCGACCCCCGTCGCCTAACGATAATGCGCTCTCGGAAAAATACACAAATGCGATTAGACTTTAAAAATAAAATAACATCGTCAGACGTCCGCACCGTTGTACGTCATATACCTGTAATATAAAAGTTCTGAGTTGCGAAGTTGAATTTTATTATAATGATATTATGTATACGAATGTAATATACTGCACTCATTTTTTTTTCCTTTTAAAACTTCTAAGCAGTAATCATATTGTTAACTCACCCGTTTACAGCCAGGACAGGTTGTATGGAGAAAAAAAGGAATGTTCTTATTTACTCGAATCTCGCTCATTTGTTCGCTGCGCCAGAGAAACTATACAACTACTATTAAATTATTATAGCTGCAATATTATTGATCGAAAACACTGCTCGAGATGATATTATTGATAATATTATGAATATTTCATACACCGTTTCGTATACAATCGACATGCACAGTAAACATTTCGGCCTTCCCACTGCAGATGAAAAATAACCGATTGCCCCCACAAGTTTTAATATTCGAGCAAAAGTCCCAGGATCAAATTATAGGGTAACAGTACTCCGTACTGATTTTACGTATTTGACCATGATTCAGCTGCACATAATATTATATTTGTATCGTCGTCTGCTGTATAAAAATATTTATACTTTTTTTTTTTTAAACAACATCCAGTTTCGAGGCAGACGACTTCTCCGAACGTAAGGTTTAACGGATAAATTAAATATTTCTAGTTCTTGATGCGGTTGCCAGTCATAATTTTTTCATGTAATAACACGAATGATACTGTAGAGTAATATGAAAAGACATTTCATCAACAGTTCCACTATACCAACTAACGATCGGTGTACATTGTACATATACAATTATGTTGTTTTTTTTTTTTTGTAATTTTTGTTTTTACATTATCTACTACAACTATATATAATACAATAATTTATTATATTAATTAGTACTCGCACGAATATTAAATACTTATTACTTGAAAAACTATTATAATATTGCACTTTTAAAATTAATTATTTTACTATTCTATAGTCAATATACTCGTGGATATTGTAGTTTGTATTGTATAAGAAAACTTTTTGTGTCTAAAAAGAAATTTGTGTTTTTACGTTTTTACTTTTTTTTATCATTATTATTATTATTATTATTATTATAATTATGATATTATTATGAATATTATTATTTTGACTAAATGAATAATAACATGGTTGTGTGTACTCACTGAGTAGACGGAAAAAAATATTGGTTTCAATCATGAGTGCTGCAAGACACAATGAGTTTTTCTGATGATAATTAAATTACTCGCGTTTTTAGTATACTAGTTTGCCATTTTCTTAGTTTATAATATTGTTGTATCAATGATTTGTAGATTTAGATTATATTCATATATATTCATAAGTGTAATAGGTGACTATTTGATAACATTAATCATCCTTCTTTGAAACTGTCTTATAACTAATCTATTTTGGAATATAATTCAATAAATATAATTTCAAATATTGCGTTTTTATTTCATACTGCAGAGTACTGTACAGTATTGAAGGTCTTAAAAGCTTCAAGACTTGGTTTGTATGTAGGTTGTTAAGATTCTGTATTGAGAAAAAAATACAATAATGTGCCCAGTGATAAGTAGTAGGTATACTTAATAACAGAGGTATTACCTTTGTATCCATACAGATATTGACAATATTATAAATTATAATATTGTACAATTATTAAAAATGAAAAGAACAATTTTCTTGGAGAGTGCGAAGGATGTAAAAAATATTGACGGACGACGTGAAGCTGTCCACATAAGTTAACTACAATGTCAACGATCGTCATAGTTTGACATTAGAGCAATTCTACAATGGACTTCGACGATGGATTTGTTACTCAATATCAAAAAATGAATATCTAGGTTGTTTTACCGATCACGTTCTCCGATAGTAGGTATTTGGTTATAATATCAACGGGCATAAGCTTATAAGATTACTAGAAAGCGCAGTCAAATATTTGGGTGTAGTTTTCGACAAAAAATTCTCATTTTTTCCTTGTAACATGTAATCTTTTAGTTGCAAAGCACTAAGAATTCTTCCGCGTAAGACATGTTTGTACTCAGTTCAAATCGGTTACCCCGATAAAATTATTATACTGGTTGAAAACGGATCTGTATTGTGAGATCAGCATGTAGTTAGTCATACTTATCTTCTGGAGAGTCTACGGCTTAAGTTTTTTTACTTTACTAGGTATGTATTAAACATTGAGCATCAGCCACATGATTATTATCTATAGTCATTTTTACATAACAATTATTTTGGTTGGCTGATTGGAGAGAACTAACTTATTTAACATTTTTTTCTAGTATATATTCTCCGGTAAAATTGACTCCCCTAATCTCCTCTCGTGCGTCAATTTCAAAATTCCTTCTTTGCCACACGTAACAACTATCCGTTCTATATTCTTATTTGTAACACAAACTATACTGTTAATGATCCACTTGTATGAACGATGAGGATTTCCAATACTGAACTGTTTCACCCTCCTAATGAATCTACAGTATCTTATATTTTCTGTCCTCTTTGATGTTCATTAAGAATTTTTGGTGGTTTTTTTTCTAATTATATATTTAAATTTTATGCTAATATTTCAACTAGATATGTAGTTAGATGTTTCTGTTAATGTAAACATCGGGCTTATTTCAATAAATAAATGTCAGAACTTAATATTTTATTGTCTTAATAACCATAATTATAATAATATACCGATGTTGTCAATTAAATCTATATGCAACAAATGTACATTTGTTAATTAATAAATTACTCAACAAGTTACAACAATAGAATATATTGTGTTACATAGCTAATTAAATATATAGAATGTGCTCAACAAATAAATTATTAAAAGGTGGATAACGGACAGCACAGAGGAACTTAAATGTTCTACACTATATTCAATTTTGAGTATGGTTTATAGCAGTTTGATCTTGACGATAAATTGGATGTCAAAATGATGAAATTCTCGGTACTTTTTTTTAAATAACTGATAAAAACCAACAAAAAACAACGAAAAACAGAGATATTTGTGTAACATTAGTTTCTTTCATAATAAAGTTTGTTTTTTGTTATAATTCATTAGGGAATAAGAATAAACATAGGGATATGACATTTTTACAAAATATTTATTTTAGCATTCATTACTCATCGTAGATTTTTCAAAATATTTTGTCTCCTAAAATTAAATTTTAAATTGTTATCAGTTATAATATGTTTATAAAATGTTGGTAATAAGATCAACAAGCTAGACAATTTAATGCAGTAAGTTCTTACACAATATTATAAATTTATTTACAACAATTTAAAAAAACATAATTAAGCAGTTCTATTTTTTTTTAACAGGCATTCAAATTTTTTATAGTAAATGCAATTGAATATTTAAACGGAGAATAACGATTTATATTTTTAATTACTTTGTAGTAAATATTCTAAAAAAGTATTAATCGTTATGATTTTAACATTTTACAATTTTATACATTTAAATAAATGTAAACAAATGTCAAGCTATACATATTTATATCACTAACTTATTCATAACCGTACTATGATACGTTAGTATTGACTTAAAATATAACAACAATAACTTTTAAGTCTTATAATTACATATAATAAGCATCTTAAATGTTTTTGGTGACAATTAGTTAAAACCATAATCTAATCATCAAGAATCGTTTTTCATAAGATGTTGGGTAGTAAGTACAATTATTTATTATTATGTTAACATTTGACAGCTTTTTTTAAATGTTATGAGTATGTATACTTATTATTAAATAAGGTTCTCAATATAATAATTATGAATTATGAATTAAGACGTAATTACATGAACTACTTGACATTATTTAAGTTATAAATCGTCTAAGTTCAAGATTAGTGAACAGGTGTAAAATGCCCACCAAAAGTAAATATTTTAATGCAACGTAAAAATAATACTGTCATAAAAATTAGCTAAAATTGACTGTGGTAATATATTGTTAATCATTATGTTTGTCACACCTTAGACCCATTTCACATAGTGAATATAGACTTCTATTTGAATTTTCGTCATTTTAGCCCTAATCAAAGACTGTATTAAAGGAAAGAAAATAAATAATAATATTGTATTAACTATTACTAATACATGCAATAATAATAATTCATTCAAATAATACAGCATGTTTTGTTTCACATTCAGAAGAACATGGAATTTGGTGTATTAGCTTTAAAAATTTCTAGATATTACAATTAATTGATTGATAATTAACTTAAAGATATCAGCTTTATAATTATGTCAATTTTGATAAGTACGTTTGTTAGATCTTCTTATGATTTTTAACATGGTATGTATTCTGCAAAAAATTGTATGCTAAATAAAAAAAATCTTTTGTGATATTTTTATATTAATGTTTCTTTATATTATAACACTGCTAAAGTTTTTTTTGGCATTCAATTAAATTATAAACATTTAATCAGTAATATCTCGATAGGTCAGTGGAAAATCTTCAGAAAGTAAAAACAAGTGTTGATAACATTCACGAGGTTTGCACTGCCGACTGCCAAATGATATTCCTAGTAGGTAAAGAATAAGTTATATCAGTTATTAAACTAATATCTTAGATTACTTGTTATTACGATTAAATCGATTAATATCCACCAATCTATCAATTAATTCCTATAAATATACCTATCATTATAAATTTCATAAGTTATAACTTTTTAACCGAGCGATTAAAACGTAAAAGTTAAAACGGAAGCAAAGAGACTTAAAATATACGTTAATCTGAATTCATTATGCAATAAATGGATTATTTTGAATTAAGCTATTAAACTAATCGATTGATTAATCGGATATCCGCTTAAATGGCAAAGTGGATTAGAACATATGATTGACAATCGGTTGTGTCAAATAAGTCTTTCGCAGTTCTTATACTACCAGACAAGAACTGTGTATGACAACAGCATTAAGGGAGGCGTAACAAGATCTCGCAGTCATGTATAGGCTGCCTTCACGAAAAATACAGTGATATACCCTGTCTTAGAGACAAAATACCCTATATCAATAAACTATATTTCTCTAAATCTTAGGTACACTACCACCCCGCACAACCATGCGTAAGAGCTAGTAATCGTGCAATCGACAAACCCTCCATGTGGATACGCTTTCCATACACTTATTGTTTGTCCAGTTGTAAGTAGTTGAAGGTTATGGTTGTAGTACATCAACAGTGCAATAAGTATCAATGATATAATACCATAATATTATACCTATCTAGGTATAATATATTTCTAAAAAAATATAAATACATTTTACACTTTTATTTTATTTTATTTTTTGTACATTTTAACGCAAATATAATAACCTAATATAATAAAGAAGTAAAATTATAGAGGAATATCAGTTTGGTGTGTGTTAACTTAGCGTCGAATTATGCAACGGTGTTATTTCATTAAATATCCAAGTGCTTGATACTCACAGTAATCAAACAAAGATGATAAACCATTGAATTTATAATATTTAACTAGATATTTTTTAAACTCCCCGTGGTTGTTCAGTGATATTTTGTATTTACACTGGAAGTAGTTAGGATAAAATAAGATTTTTGCTCCATAATAATTAATTGGTATTTGATGTCATCTCAACATTATCGATAACAGGTGGGGCGACTGCAGTTAATTTGATTATTAAATTTATATTGAAATGATACACAGTACCTACACACATCCAAATAGTACTTCAAGACTTGTGCATTGATACGGATAAACATCTCACCTCTATCATTTTAGTCCATAGTACTATTATATATTTTAGGAATGGTGTATTGTATAATTAAAAATGTTTCCAAACCCAATTTGGCAATAATAAATAGCAGGTAGGTACCTACTATAATATAGTTTGCATATCGCATATAATATGCATACTATGTATCCGGTATTCCACTATACCACATTTAAAATTTAGGCAGAAAATAAATAAATTTAATTTGTATGATATTATGAAAAATTATTCAGACTTAATATTAAATATTAGTACTGAAACTGTCAAATATGTGAAAATGTGTAAAAATGTATCTTCTTTGGTCTGTTTTCTATTTTTTCCTAAATTTTTGTGGAACATATTTCTATTATTATTTCTGAATGTCACCAATATTTTTGAACATCTAAATAATAATAAATTGTTTATTTACCTCTCAACTAATTAATGATGCGTATACTTGAACTATTCTCAATCTGGAATTCAATAACCAGAATAAAGTTATTCTATACAATCTCTAGATTTTATAGTATCAATTTAAAGTAAATACTTAACCTGAAGATGTTCGTTAAAATATAAAATAACACATTTAATACTTAAACGTTATGCATAACATCAGTATATACTATATTCTATGATTGATAGTATCCAATAAATATCAGAAACCAAAATACGCTTCGTTTTCATTCTTTTTTTTTTATAGATAATATACACTTTAGATA